TGGACAAAATCGAAATTACCTCTTCACTTTTCCATATGCAGGCTGCCTTCGATAAGTACAATACGTCTGAATTTCGTTATGTTGCCTCAAACAGCCTACTAACACACTTCAGAATGCATGAAGTCTTTCCTGCAGCCACCCGCTGATGTGTACAACTCGGGTGGAGACGACGCGACTGTGAGGTCTGACCGCGATAGCAAGTACTGTCTGCATTGCATCTCCCTCGTCCGAATTCACAACCCGTGAATTGTAATGTATGGGCGCGGTGCCACCTAAAAAGGAAAAACTTCCTTTTTATTAGCTAATACTTATTTTCCTTCAAAATATACATCATTTCCTGTGCCTATATTGCCTCCTTTTGCCAATCATTTTGGAGTGAATATACCGACTGATTGCATTGTGAATACTCACCGAGTTTTCGGCACTTTACTAATGTACGGAAATCTATGCGCCCACATCAAGTGTCGCTTTCCATGCGAGTGCATCTAGGCAATGGCACAAAAGGCTGTTGGTACACGTCTAGACGTTTCCTTGCTGGGATGCATGCAGAAGAGGTGGATTTGCCTACAACCCCTGAAAAACATTCCTGTTCGGTTTAGTAAACGCAATTGCCTGATGGCTGATCCGCAAACATTCTAGAGAGGAGTTCTCGCACAGTCCCTCGTGAATGGCTCCTGTGAACCACTTTTCTGAAATTTTTTCTACATTGGCTCCAGATTGCTTTAACTGCTCGCCAGTGATACCTGTCTAGTGCTCACGCAGTCTTGGCAACGCCGGCATCTGTTTTGAAGGCTCTATCTGTCAACGGGATTGGAGGTGATAGACATCAAGCCCACCCGCATGAACCTCATATTATGATAGAAAGTTGAGTAGGTCACAAGCCCGACACAGGGGCTCCCTCACTGCCTCAACACCACAAGGAAAGCAGTGCGAACAAGATAAAGCAAGATTCGGCAAATCAACGAAAATGTCTTTCTGCTCCCATGGTAGGCTTTATTTCTACCATACAGGTCCCTCCAAATGAGGAGCGCCTCACCTATGTGGATATCAAAACACGCCAGTCAGTAACTCCGCCGACCGTAAAAGCGAAATCGTCTGCTAAAACAGTTTTGAGTACTGCGCTAAGACGAGAATCTCGCAAGACTGGAAGCTTCACTTTGCGCCATGTTGTTGACTCAACGCGCCTTTGTAGTCTGATGCGCCTTTGACAGGTAAAAGCACCAACTGGTACAAATTGACCTTCATGAGAAACCGCACTCCGATGAGGTTGCAACTTGAGTGATTGGTAGGAAAATTCGCCTACTTTTAATCCCCATGACTGTCTGTGAGTAATAGAGAAGAATGCAATCTTTGTTAGCGGCACTTCTAATTGCCGAATTGCATTAAATCTGCGTAAATACGGAGCAGTCGTGCCCATTCAGGCCTTGTATCGTGAATGACGATCTAGCTAAATTCACGATTGCTTTTCCGGAAAATAAGGGAAACTAAACAATCGAAGGGAAGTAAATGCCCCTGCTCTGTAAACAGCGTATGGCATCCAACACTTCAGAGAGAGGTGTCAACCTTCACCGAGTCATAAGTGATGAAATGATGACAAGGGTTCTATAAATGCCCCACCATTTTAGCATGATA